ATGCTAGTCCCAGGAGCCTGTGAACATACTACCTCACCTGGAAAAATGGGATTTCACAGATATAGTTAAGTTAGAATCGTGAAATGTGGAAAAAAGTCTGGATTATCCAGGTGGACCCAATGTAATCTCTAGAGTTCTTGAAAATGGAGAAGGATCCAGAGTCAGGGAGATGTGACTATACATGAAGGCTGGAGTGATGCAGTGCAAGAAGAAATCCACCCACCATTGCTGGCTTTGAAAATGGAGAAAGAGGGCCATGAACCAAGAAATGACAGACGCCTCTAGAGATTCAAAAAAGCAAGATATAAATTCTCCTCTAGAGCATCCAGGAAAGAACTCAGCCCTGCCTATGTCTTGATTTTCGCCCCTCAAGATCCAAGTCAGACTTCTGACCTTCAGCATAGAATACATTTCTATTGTTTTATGGTACTAAATCTGTGGTAATTACAGCAGCGACAGAAAACAAATACAGACCCTCTGGTGTTTTTTTGTTTTTGTTTTTGTTTTTTTTGAGTTGGAGTCTCACTCTGTCGCCCAGACTGGAGTGCAGTGGCCGCTCCCGGCCACCGCAGCCTCGACCTGCTGGGCTCTGGCGATCCTTCCGCCTCAGCCTTCCAAGTAGCCTGAATTACAGGCATGCGCTACCACGCCCAGCTGATTTTTTGATTTATTGTAGAGATGAGGTCTCGCTGCCCAGGCGGGTCTCGAACCCGTGGGCTCAGGCAATCCACTCACCTCAGCCTCCCAAAGGCACGGGATTACAGGCTGAGCCACCGAGCCCGGCTACCCTCTGGTTTTTTACAGGAGGGATCCAGGCAGAGCAGGCAAAAAGCAAGAGTGGGGCAGGCAAGAAATGAAAGTATCTTCTCAGATCAACATGCAACTGGGGAGGCAAGTGGAACAAGGAAGCAAGTCTCAGAAACACCCAGCTATGCTTGTAAAGACCCACAACCAAAGGACATGTCGTGGGGGCTTTAAACTTCCCAGGGGGGCCTCAAGAGAAGCCAGGTTTCTTATCTAATGTTGAGCCAAGACAATGAGTACTAAGATCAAAAAGAGTGAATGAGACAGGTGTTTAAAATGATCTCTCTTTTTGGCAGAGTATAGCATGACCTAGAACGTGTGGATGCTTGAGTTTGGGGAAGCTTCAAGAACTATTGGGAAAATTGAGTTGGGATGAAGAGGCACTTAATTCAGACTTGTTTTTGGAGGTTTTGGTGGAAATCAAGTATGTATCAGCATGATGCCATAAAGAACCAAGCAGGACCAGCAACACCTTAGTGGATACCAGAAAGGAAGCCTCCAGCTAACTAGTTAAAACTCATTGGCCCTGGAGGCCAATAAAGACTTAAGGGACAGCATACAGACCTGAAGTCTTGCCTACTCCTGCTGCCAAAAGGATGTATCCACTTCCTACCCACCCAGACCCCACACTAAGAGCAAAGGCAGGTCCCTTGAGTGAGGAGAAACAAGCCCGTTTTGATTTGTCTTGATTGCTACTTATATTCTATATTATGGCAATTTACAATTTAAACCAGATGAGATTGTTGCCTTTGACTGACAGATTTTTTTCTTCCCTGCCATCAGTGAGAACAAAGACTTAGATCAAGATAAAATTTATACATATATATTTTTGCATTATATGGACATTCACAAATGCAATGAATGGAGTATGTTATTTTCGTTCTCTATTTCTGTCCCTCCAATCTTGGGACTGGTGACAATCTTGATGAGACTAAGAAAATGGTCTCTTTTACTGAATACTTTTAAGTATTCTATGTTGTTTCTCATACACCAGAATCTTTAATACCAGTAAAAATCATAATCACTAGTTTTGTCACTTGTTCAAAATACTGTCTAATCCCTGGGCCAAGGCCAACTGATAGACATGAAAAGTTTTGCTTTTTCTCTCAAGTGTACTATGCATGGCTGGCTGTTATTTTGTCAGTGAAAAGAACTGTGTGATGTTGTGTTGCTCTGTCCTCCTATACAGGACAAAATCCAGTCTTTCCTATGGCTGTGTTCTTGCTGGGGAGTACTGTTCTCTACTTCTGTGACCCCCATAGTCATGACACTACCACAAGATGGATATTTTAAACCCCTTCTGGAGAGAAAAGTCATTTCCTTCTTAGAATTTGAGCTGAAAATGGATTTTCCTTTTCAGGCATGGTCATAGCACCATGGATTCTCCACTGACCACCTGCTCTGGGCTGTACTGTTAGACTCCAGCTCTGTGTGAACTGTATGTGACGTTGGGGAGGAGGAAGTGAACAAACAAAAGATGCCCCACCAGAAACTCTTTAAGCTCACAGCACAAGTTCACCATTTCGTGAGCTTGTTACGTAAGTAACTATAGATGGGATTTGCTTTCTTTTTGGCCTGAAGTAGGGACACATTGCAGGACAAAATGGAGACACAGGGCATCTGTAAGAAAGGGCCCAGACCCACTACAGCAAGCTGGGGTCAATGGAGCTTCGAGGCCTCAGATACAACAAACAAGAACAAAATGGTTTCGTTGCTGCTGACTTGATTGTTCTCCCAGAGTTTAGGAGCGCCCCCCCTCTTCTTTGAGTATACGACAAGGATCTACATTGGCGTTTTTTTGTTTTTTTTTTTATATCTAAAATTAAGTGGTAAGATTTGCCAAGTTCACATAGGTACTAACTTTTAGAGCCAGTTTTCAAAGCCGTCTTGACTCCGAAATCCTGACCCCTTCCACTCTACCACGTGGCACTTAGCTTGGGAAAGTGGTCGGGCTACAAGAGGTGGGGAGTTGTATCCCAGTACTGGAATTTAGCGGGTTGGAGCCCCCTGTAACTTACTTGCAGCTACCACCAGAATCCGTGGTTGACGCAAAACACATCAGAAGGTGAGCTTTGACTGCCACCTAGCGATTATTTGATTTCTTTACGGAAGCTAATAGGGTTCTTTATTAAGCTTTTGCTGAAAAACCATGAAGATCATTTGAACTTGCAAGACGTACACTCATGTTTCCTAAAATCTTAACTCATATGCAACCACGTCACATAGAGAAATCTAATCAGACTATGAGCCCACTGAACATGGCCTTTTTAGAGTCTCTCAGCAATGGAAAAATTGTTACTTTTAAAAGAATTGTGAAAAAAGTACGATCAGAAGAAATTTTGATTGCACTGACTTCTCTCCTGCATATGATCTGTATACATTGAGAGGCATTAAAACTGAAGATCACAGGTTTCAAACCCAGGCTGCCTTGGCTCAGCTTGGCTTCATCCCTTCTTAGTTCAGTGGCTTTGGTCAAGTTGCTTACCCTTCCTGAGCCTGTTTCTTCATTCGTGGAGGATAACACCTAGCACACAGGATTGTTGAGATGATTAACAGGATAGTCAGATAGCTAAATTAGATGGCAAGTACTTGGAACAGTGCTTGGTATTTGGTAAGCAGAAATTACAAATATTAGCTATGAGTGTTTGATATGTCTATTATTTAAAGCTACGTTTACTATAAAATGTAGGGTAAACTTGGCCACATTAAGTCCAGTATATAATACTTGTTAAACACGTTTCAAGAGTCTAATGCAGATCCCTGGAAACATGGCTACTGTACAGCAATTGGCAGGGTAGTGGTTAGTCCTGAAGAGATAATACTTGAATATCTGAAGAGGAAAGAAGACAAAACAGGAGACGGTAAAGAAGGGATAAAGAAACCACCTTTTTGCAACTTTTTGTTTTTATATACGTTTTACTATTTTTTATTGAATCAGCTACTCAACACTTACTGACTGCCTACTACATGCTAGGGTCCACATTAGGTTATCTTAGGTCAGCAAGTTCTCAAAGTGTGGTTCACAAGGTCAAAAGATGCTTCTTTCCTCATTGTGCTGAGACTTGCACTGATGGTATAAATCAATGGTGACTGGAACTGCTGGACATGGATCAAGGCAGCGATGCTAAACTGTCACTGTGTCACCCCCCCAGAAGTGTTTTGCCTTTATCAACATATTTCTCATAATTTCATATAACAAAACAAAATTGATAAATTTCCTGATAACCAAAATTTTAAAGTGAGACTGGCCTATGGTGAACAGGTTTAGATATTAAAGTTATGCTGGATTCATAAAGAAATTGGAGAAAGTCCCATGTTTTTCTATAGCTTTGAGTAGTTTAAATGAAGATCAGTTAAAACACAGCTAACATCTGGCTTTGTTGCCTTCTTCAGTGGTAGAGCTTTAAATATATTTCTGCTTATGGTGTTATTAGTCAATTAAGATTTTCATTTCTCTTTAGGTCAACATTCATGCTTTATTCTTAAAGTTCCATAACTAACAGATATGTCGTGGTGTTACATATCTTGTCAGTTTTCTCTCCTGGGACATAAGGAATTTTAATCAAGCCTTTCTTCAGAACAAGTGTGTTTTTTGTTACACATCTGAATATAGCACAAGCATCTATAAAGATACTTGTGTGAATACTCACCTTTGAATGACTAGCAGTTATTTGCTGCATAAACACAAAGGAAAGAGAACACTATAAATTCAGTATGTTATCTGAAACATACTCTTCTTAAATCTGTTGTTTTCCCTAAGAGCATGTCCCCCACACCCCTTGGTTTTCAGCCTTCAATTAATAGGACTTAATTGCGCAGCTTCTTTTTCAGTTCCACACTTCTCTACTACTCTGCTGCAGAGAACTTGGGCCTATAATGATCAGATGGGTGTTTTGGAGAAATCTGCATCTGGCACAAAGTCTGGGTGGCTTGTGTCAGACTTCAAGTCTAGAACTTTTAACACTTTTAGTTTACTATTTACTCTTTTATTTGAAAAATTCAAAGTAATGTAATTTCCATCATACTCTGCAATATACATTTACTCAAGTTAATGAAAAATAACCAATAAAGACTGACACAACTGGCAATACAATTTTTTATTATTAATTTTTCTTTTTGAGGGAGACACATGCTTTATTATACAGCACCTGTAAACAAGTCAGTGAAGTATGCTATTTTAAGAGTCCCATACTTTGTTTTTTTGGAATGTTAAATAACCACAACATCACCTGAATTTCATAATAGTTTTGAAAGCAAGTCAGGGTAAATTTTTATAGCTAAACATATTCATAGCAGCAACTTTTAAAAGATGATTTTATTAAATCAAGTCATTGCACTTGGTCATTTTATTGCTACAGCAAAACAAGGCCATTAAATTATAATACTTCCCATTTCTGATTTAACTGATTGTCTCATTCTGCTCATACATTTCAAGTTTAAATGCAATCATAATCTTTGTCAAAAATCTAGAGCACATGAACCTTTTTTTCTGTGATCACAGGAAGGAACATGAGAAAGAACATCTTCTGTTACACAGCCTATTCTCTCTTTATATCTTTAGACTTAAATTATGTAAAAAGAAACAGCTTATAATAAGACAAGCTTAGTGGTCACACACAAAACGTAACATTGAAATACAATCACAAAATTATTACTATTATGTGTTTCCAAGAATAGCAAGCCTGAACTATACATTCATCAATAATTTGGCAATGACAGATTCCATTCTGTTCACCTTTAGTCTGTTATTTAACTCATATGTAGAGAAAAAATTAATGATTTACCTCGAGTAGTCTATTATTACTACATATCATTTTGTGATATAAACTTTAAGAACAGAAATTAATTAAAGTTCCCATATCAGGAGCAACAAGTAAGTTGCTAGAATAAAAAAATCTATTTTCCCTTTAGGCTCAAGTTTGTTTGGTTTTCTTTATTATTTTGTCAAGGGCAGATAAACAGACATATAGCACTTCAATTACTTCTCTATTCTGGTCGAGGAGTATACAGGCAAAGACTTTAACTGTATTTCAGCACTCATGACCATCATGATTTCATGTACTAGTGAGAAAAATGACCAACCAAAACCTTAAGAATAGCCTGAAATCTGCTGGAACCTTCCCCTACCACATTATTACGGTGGGATGGGATTGTGCCAATAGATTTTCCAGTGAGAAAGCTGGAGGATGATGTCTAGAATGCAAGGTTTTTGTTTTTTCCTAAGATCTATCATTAAAAGAAAGATTTAATTCATTTAACAAAGATGAAATCATTCAATTAAATAGTCATTTAAAAACAGAACGGGAAGGAACAATTTTGTTCAGTAGTGAACTCATTAGAAGAGCCCAAAGACTTGAAAGAGTTATAATGTACATTTCTTAATACATAATCAGCATTCCCCCAAAACCCTAATATAAGCTGTAAATTAAATATCAGGTAAATGTGTATTGGCATTTTCATTATTTTCTACTTCAGTTCTCTTTATTTGAAACATGACAAATTTCATTTACACAAGATTTCTGTACTGTAAGACTAAAACATAAAGAAAAAATATTGGTCTGGTAGTTTAAAACAACAAACAATGGAAGCATAATAATTGGTACTCAAAATCTGACACTCATTTACTACAATAAAGCTTCAAACCTAATTTTTTTGCAAATGAAAAAGATTTAAAACTTCAAAAATTTTTAAGAAACCTATCTGTTTTTAGACATGTGACCTATAAGATATGACATTTTAAAATATTCAGTAGTAACTCCAAAGAAGCTACTAATTCATCCATTCTGCAAAAATGTATTTTGAATACGGTCAACTATATGAGTTTAAAATAAGCTGTAATGTTTTGTTTTATGACATACTAACACTCTTTATAAAGCTGGTACCTAAATAACAGTTCTTTGAACTCTACAGATTAATTTGGTCTACTAGGCAAATTTTACACTGTAAAACCTGAGTATTTTACCAGAGTATGAAACCTCACACTGAGTTCTGAAAAGCTTTGGGTGTTGTTTTCCTCGTATTACCATTAAAAATTATAAGGAGGAGCACAAAGAACCAAATCACAAGATAACAAAATGAGTAGTATTCAAGACTGTAAAATAAGCAGAAAAGCACAGGCGTAAGGCTGGTGTTTACATATTTTATGTGCTGTAGTTTCTAGGCACAAGTTAAGGGTTAAATTAACATTTTTCAGATTCCTCAGACCTAATGAATTTAAAATAAAGCTCATATTTTCCCAAATAATGTTTAACAATCCATTTGTAACTAAATTCCTTTTATGAATCCTATAGTGCAAGCAATATAAAATACTCTAAAAGTTGAAGAAATTATTTTGATTATTTCATCAGTTCTTATTATATGTATGGGTGAGTAATCTGGTTTATAGCTAGGTAAGTATCTCATCACCCAAGATATAAACAGCACTGCAGACAAACAGGCACAACAGTGTAATCCTGGGTAAAATGCTAAAATTGAACACACACACACACACACACACACACACACACACACACACACACACACAGTTTATGTCCCTATATTCATTATGGGAAAAGTAGTGAATACAGTTACTAAAAGCTAATTTGTCCCTCTCAAACAGTATATCTTACAGATTACTTGTAAAGATATCACCATATTTATAGTATAGATTTCTTTAAAAATAATACAAGTTTAATAAAAAAACTATTGTGAACTTTCTTTCCTTTTTATACAGATTCAGTAGTATTTTCAAGCAAACAAATTTTTAAAAATTGTTTGCAATCCCAGCACAGTAAGAAATAAGGCCTCTTTTTTTCATATTGGCAAAACAATATACATATAAAAAAAATTCACTCTCACTCTACTTTTCTATAGATATTATACTTCATATACTCATACTTCCTTATCACAACACCAGTATTCACTAATTTTAAGTAACAAGTCAGTTGAAGTTCATAGTGTTGCTTCTGAATCCCTGGAACATTAGGAACACTGGGTCCACCACACAATTTCAAGAAGACAGGACAGCTTTTTTTAGCTTCTCTATTTCCATCTAAAACATAAAACATAAATAGAGCAATGACAAAATATCCTCACTTGTTCATTTTATCCTGTCATTAAGATATGATTATACTTTCAAGGCTCTAAATTTTGATTTCCAGATCTAAAGTCCAATTTCCCATGGTACAATATTATTGAATAAAATTCCAATAGAAGAAAATGTCACACCGCAAGTTTCTAAATGGCAGTGATAATTTTTAAAAAGCAACTATAGTTCTTTCAGTCAAAACAATGTTAAGTAAACATTTGAAATCAGAATTGTTAAAAAAAAATCAGTCCTACAAAAAACAAAAGAACTCCTGAAACCAAATTAAGAAATGTACATGTATCTGTAATGAAACATAAAGGGGGTATTACATAACAATAAAAATAATAAATGACCCATTTAGTTCTATGTTCTTCACTAATTCCGTAGGCAATACTGGTAAATTATTTGACTTCCCTTGGTTTCAACTTCCTCCTCTGTAAACAGTATGTACAAAACAAAACTCTCTTTAAAGCTCAGGAGCGTATCTAATATTCAGTCAATGTGTTAGAAATACATCGTTAGGCAGAAGGCATCCTTCACTTAACAGAAATTTATAGCTTAAGGGACTTAAGAAGGAATTAATTCATTAAGTTTTCACGACAACCAGAGTTATTCAATTCTGACATATTACAATGGCTAAGTTGAGGCTCAAAGACACTAAGACACTAAATAGCATGCCAATGTTTCCACACCGTGGCACTGGAATTGTATAGGTAGGGTTTAGGCCTGTAAAGCCTACAATTTTTGTACTGATTGTCTTCCCAATTCCTTAATATTTTCATCATCTTTGACCTTTCACTGCATATGGATACATCTAGGCTTTCCTTTCACCTGGAAGTATCCCCTCTCCTCAATAATTCAGGTAACAATACATGCTTGGCTCACTTCCGACAGTTCATTATTAAATGATGAAGATTTGCCAGAGTCAAAATGTATAATTTTGGCCGGTTTAGTTGCTGACACAGTAATGGCAGCACTTTGAGGGGCCAAGGCAAGAGGACTGCTTGAGGCCAGAAGTTAGAGACCAGCCTGGGCAGCATAGCAAGACCTCCCTACAAACAACAACAAAATTTAGGTATAATTATGATATGCTCACAATCTCCTAAGGGATTCTAACCAGCTAAGAACAGTTTATTAATTTCAGGATCTTTCCTGATATAATTCTTCTAATAATATGATTAGCAGAATTGGATTCAAACAAGTCTCTGTTGTAACTTAGACTGAAAAAAGATATTCTTAATCATCAGCTTGATGTATTATTATCATTTTTATTCCAAAGATAAAATGACTAACTGCACCAACTTTAGTGGGCAAGGATGTACAGAAACAGTAAGAAAAACAAACTGCATACAATCCCGCAATCCCCCTACTGGGAATATACCTGGAGGAATTCAAATCATTCTATGAAAAAGATACCTGCACATGTATGTTTACTGCAGCATTGTTAACAATAGCAAAAACATGGAACCAACCATGCTGCCCATCGAAAGAGGACTGGACCAAAAAAATGTGGTACATATGCATGATGGAATACTATGCAGGCATAAAGAAGGACAAAATTATGAACTTCACAGCAACTTGGATGGACTTAAAGTCTATAATACTGAACGATCTACTACAGAAACAAAGAACTGAGTATCATATGTTCTCACTCATAATCAGACCTTGAACAATTATCATAGTACTATAAGGATTGGCAGTAGCGAGAAACTATTGGTGGGGGTGGGACAGGGATTGGCAGTAGTGGGAATTTGCTGGGGGCAGGGGACACACCTCATCAACATGGGTAACTGCATTATGAGCATTTGTACACCTAACCCTGAATTGTATCCCACATCTTTATAATAAAAATTTTAAAAATTCAAAATACAAAAAAAAAAAAAAAAAAAGACAGAAGAGGTAATAGGGAGTGTGCAGAATACCTATGCAAGCAGTCAATAATACTCTATTCAAACTGCTATTTGTGACATAAGGTTTAGTTATAAGCAGTTATATTGCTAAATATTTTCTTCTAGCACTTTATGTTCATTGTTTATTTTTACCCCTTTTTATCACTCCCCAGTATACTGTAATACTATATAATGTTAACATAGTTCAAAGTACTACTTTTAATCTTTGGAGAAATATCTTTCTACTTTAAATGTATATTTCTAAAACTATATTGCCTTAGGTGTGCTTTTACAAATACAGAAATAAAACTTTGACCATTATGGGGAAATAAAATTGCAATACAAGTCAGTGGGAAGCCAAGTAACAGCTGACGTTATTAGAAAAATAAAATCAAATAAAATTCTTCAAAGCAGAAACAATTCATTTGACTCATCAAAATTCTTATGAAAAATTAAATCATATATACAAATTTAGCACTATTTATTCCTCTTGCTTTTCTTATCATCTTATTTCCATTTATGAATATGAACATGTATGTATAATATATAAGGAAAAAACACATATCAATTTCTATCATGGGAATTTAAGATATAGTTTTAAAATGTACCTCTACCATTCATTAACATGGCAATAATTTATTGGATATCTAATATGTATATAACACTGTGCCAGGAGCTACAGGCAAAGACAAAACAGACATGGATCCCTTCCTAAACATTGTTACAGTCTAGAAAAGAGGCAAAATAAGTACATACTATAACAGTGATGACATAAAAAATTATTACTTATACATTTCTTACAAAACTATAGGTCTTATGAATTTGGAAGACAAAATTACTTTTAAGGAGAGGCAGACTAGTGTCAACTTAATGAAGGTGATTGTTTGAGTGGGGCCTTGAGTATCTGTAGAACATGGGCATTACAAGATGAGGGATAAGGACAATCCAAGAAAACATAGTGGGAGTATATCAACTCTAAAGCACAATGGAGGATCAAAAGAGGAAAGACAAACTAAGACAACTAGATTTTTAAAATCTCATAAAACAAGTTGTTTGAACATTATTCAGTAAGTCATAAAAAGCTCCTGAAAGTACCTTAGCGGCCAGGCACCGTGGCTCATGCCTGTCATCTCAGCACTCTGGGAGGCAGAAGTGAGAGGACTGCCTAAGCCCAGGGGTTTGAGACCAGCTGGGGCAACTTGGCGAGACCTCGTCTATACAATAAATCAAGAAACATTAGCCAAATGTGGTGGCTCACACCTGTAGCACCAGCTACGCGGAAGGCTGAGGTGGAAGGATCGCCTGAGTTCAGCAGGTCAAGGCTGCAGTGGCCATAAGCGTACCACTATACTCCAGCCTGGGCAACAGAGTGATACTTTGACTCAAAAAAAAGAAAGAAAATACCTTAGCAAGAAAAGATTGATCTGATATAAGACAGTAGTAAGGAAACATTTACACATAAGGTTATAAGAAAGGAAGAGAAACAAAGTAGTCAGAAACAGAAGAAAGTAGTATCACCTAAACCAAGAAAAACCTTTGACAAGGTGTTAATAGTAAAAATATAATATGCTGCAGAAACTGAAGAGACAATTAATGTGGCATCAGGAAACCTAACCTAAACTGCAAGGGGTTAAGGACTGAATTGAAGGTGAAAAATGAGAAACAGCAAATAGGGTTTTTTTGTTTGTTTGTTTGTTTGTTTGTTTGTTTTGGAGGGTGGGTTTATTTTTGTATTTCAAATGAATCCCAAATGAAAAGAGAAAAACAACTGCAGAGGGTCACTGGACCTAAAAGAAGGCTTTTCTTTGATTTTGAATATAGAAAAAAACTAAGTAGTTTCATACGAAGAGGTGAAGATGCCAACAGAGGATAACATTCGACATGAGTAAAAATGAATTTCTGATCACTTACAAAGTACCTTCACATACATTATCTCATCAACTAAAGCTAAAAAGATTAAGTGACTTGCCCAGGTTCAAACAGTATAGCTTCATCCCTAAGTGCAAAAGTTCTGAAGATTGCTACTTCCGTTAAAAGCATTTAAAAATGTTCAGTTCCACTGCTGTTATTTCATTAATCCCAACACTTTAGGAGGCTGAGGTGGGAAAACTGCTTGAGGTCAGAAGTCCGAGATCAGCCTGGATAATATAGAGAACCGGTCATTATAAAAAATAAAAATAAAAAATTAGCTGGACATAGTGTCATGTACTATAGTCCCTGTTACTCAGGAGGCTGAGACAGGAGATCACTTGAGCCCAGGAGTTTGAGGCTATGGTGAGCTATGATCACACCACTATACTCCAGCCTGGGCAACAGAATGAGATCATGTCTCAAAAAAACAAAACCAAAATCTAGTTGCTCCAGCCGTATAGCAAGAACAATAATTCTTACATGCTGTTATATATATCTAATGGGATTATCTATAGAAAATGCTAAGCCTGATAGTTTTGAACTAAAAAAAATCATGACTCTAAGTCAGAATAGAAGTTAAAGTTTTCTAATTGCAAGTCCCACATTCTCTCTCGTTCTTTGATGATGGCAAAATAAATAGGATAAATAATGAGGCAAGGTAAAAAGCAGAGGAGTGAGTACAAAATACCTAAATAAACAACAGGAAGAGCCTCTGAAAAAAGACAGAACACAACTTTCTCTGAGATATGCAGAAATAATACAAAGGAAGACAAAAATAAGTGAGGAGGAAAGGAAAGTTAAGGAAGATAAAGGAAATAGGTAAAATAGTAGTCATCAGGAGAGAATGAAGACAAAGTAAACTCTAAGGAAGAAATGGAAGGCTGTAATCTATAGCCATCTATCACTAAAACCAGACCCATCCAAAAAAAAGAAAAAGTGCAATAGCAAAGAAAACAAGCATACCTAATTTTACTGTACTTTGCTTTTATTGTGCCTCCCAGATATTGTGTTGTTTACAAACTAAAGGTGTGTGGCAGTCCTGCATTGAGCAAGTCTATCAATGCCATTGTTCCAAAAGCATGTGTTCACTCCCCATTACTGTGTCACATTTTGGCATTCTTACAATATTTCAAACATTTTCATTATTATTACATATGTCATGATAACCTGTCATCAGTGACATACAATTACTATTGTAATTGTTTTGGGGTGCTATATATCATGCACATATATAAAACAACAAACTTAATAAAAAAAAGTTCATGTGTTCTGACTACTCCACTGACCTGCCTTTCCCCATCCCTCTCCTTCTCCTTATGCTTCCCTATTTCCTGAGACACAAGAATACTGAAATTAGGTGAGATAATAACCCTACAATGGTCTCCAAGTGTTCAAGTGAAACAAAGAGGTTTAAGAAAGAAAGCCATTTCCATAACATAACAGTGCAAGGTGAAGGAGCAAGTGCCGAGGTACAAGTTGCACCAAGTTATCTAGAAGCCCTAGCTAAGATAATAGATGATGGTGGCTGTGATGGGCAAGACTTTCAATGAAGATAAATCAGCATTCTACTGGAAGAAGATGCAATCTAGGACTTTCACACTAGACAGAAGTCAATGCCTGGCTTTGTTAGAGGCTAATGTAACTGGTAACTTTAATGGAAGCCAAAGCTCACTAACCATTCTAAAAATCCTAGAGCCTTTAAGAATTATGCTAAATCTACTCTGCCTATACTCGCAAAATGGAACAGCAAGGCCTGAGTGACAGTACATCTGTTTAGAGCATAGTTTAATGAATTATCTTAAGCCACTGTTGAGACCAACTGTTCAAAAAAAAGATTCCTTTCAAAATGCTAATGCTTACTGACAATGCACCTAGTCACCCAAAAGCACTGATGGAGAGACACAAGTAGATGAATGTTGTTTACATTCCTGCTAACACAACAACCATTCTGCAGTCAAAGGATTAAGGAGTCATTTCAACTTTCAATCCGTATTATTTAAGAAACACATTTCATAAAGTTATGGCTGCCATAGATAGTGATTTCTCTGATGGATCCAAGCAAAGTTAATTGAAAACTTTCTGGGAAAAAATTCACCATTTTGGATGTCATTAAGAACATTCTTGATTCATGGGAGAAAGTAAAAACATCCACATGAACTGTCTGTACAAGTTGATTCCAACCCTAATGAATGACTTTCAGATGATGACATCAGTGGAGGAAGTTACTAGCGATTTGGTGAAAACAGTAAGAAAATTAGAATTAGAACCCTAAAGATGTGAATGAATTGCTACAATCTCACGATCAAATTGCACAAATGAGGAGTTGCTTCTTATGAATCAGCAAAGAAACTGCTTTCTTAAGGTGTAGTTCACAATTGGTAAAGATGCTGTGAACACTGTTGAAAGGAAAACAAAGATTTAGAATGTCAAGTAAACTTAGTTGATAAAGCAGTGACTGAGTTTGATAGGACTGACTCCAATTTTGAAAGAAGTTTTACTATGGGTAAAATGCTATCCAATAGCACTGAGTGCTACAGAGAAATCTTTCATGAAAGAAAGAGTCAAATCGATACAGCAAACTTCACCATGGCCTTAAGACATTGCCACAGCCACCCAACCTTCAGCAACCACCACCCCGATCAGTCAGCAGCCATCAATACTACCTCCACCAGGATGATGAATTATGACTCACTGAAGGCTCATACAATCATTAGCATTTTTAAGCAATGAAGTATATTTTATTTAGGATACATACACTGTTTTTTTTAGACATGCTATTACTCATTTAACAGACTACAGTATAGTATAAATAGATCTTTTATATCACTGGGAAACAAAAAAATTTGTGTGATTTGTTTTACTGTAGTAGTCTGGAACAGAATCTGCAATATTTCTGAGGCATGCCTATATTGCTCAAAGAAGAAATAGAGAATCTTAAGAAGCAAGAACTATATTTGTTTTATTCACAAATGTACACCTTGTGGTTCACATTCTGCCTAAGAGAGTTAATACTCAAGAAATGTTTACTGCATAAATGAATGAAATGTGACAAGGAATCAACAAGAGATTAAATAAATGGCTACCAATCAGAAGGAAGGGTACAACTTAAATAGGATAGTATAATTTGTACTGGAACCAATCACTCAGTTGGGTTGGAAAAAGCATGTCCATTTATGTTGACTAAAATCTCAAAGCTGTGAGAAACATATTACCTCTAGATTGCTTCTCATTGCTTTCTCTTCTTCCAAATCTTTTCGTAGTTTTTCCAGTTCTTTCCTAAAAACAAAGTCCTTATTACTATTAAGTTTTTCAATTAAACAATCTATGTGGCTAGTATATAGAATCTGTTTCCTAATCTCCCAGGACATGTACAAAACTTTTTACATACAATACTGACTGAGAAAAATTTCAGTGTTTCTAGTTTGAACGGTTCAATAAAAAAAGTTAAAAACTCAGCAAAACCAGGATACATCTATCTGAGATAAAGAAATTAAGTGAATTCCGAGCAGCTTATGATAAAATAAAAAAAGGTATGCGACCTCTGGAAAAATTTTTCCATATTCATCTATCATATATTTTCAAGGCTGGAACTCCAGAGCCCGAGAAATTCTGTAGAATGACTATCACCACATGTCACAATAAAAGGCAAATTTAAAATTAATAAATTAGACCTTAAATCTTTTTAAAATTTAAATATTACATTAAAATCCCAAACCAACAAGTTAAAAACGCTAGTCAATAATCCTTCCTCCTTCCTTCCTACTCAAGTTTTCATTCTCCTGTGTTCCCTTCTAATCTATCTTTCCATACATTCGTTTTTCTCTCTATAGTATAGTTATATATTCTATACTGCGTCTCTTCACAAATTTTAAACATTCCCATGCTGTTAAAATTTTCATATTAATGATAACTGCTGTTTGGCTCTCAAATATCCAGGCTTCTTGTTTGGTTGACTGCTTTTTGGGAGAGACAGAAGGAATGGGAGGAATATGAATTTTACTTAACACCATAAATATGTTAGTATAACAAATTTCTAAATCAGTCTCTTAACATATATTAGAAAAATTCTCTTCATGACTACTGTAGAAGTCAACAAATATCACAAAGAAAGGATATGTAAGGAAGGAATACATTTTTAAATTATTTAAAGTTTCAAAATTAATTTTTTCTCTGGCTTTAGTGATTAGAAAACTCATTTCTCCACTTTGGAGGTAAATTATTCACTGTTTCCTACTGACTACAACTTTTAAAACAAAAATATTTAACTTAAACTTATCTAGAGCTAATTCATTAAGTCATATAAGGTACATTTCAGCTAATTTTCTATTTCCATAAACTTATCCCTAAATTAAATTATGCTTCCTCTTCTAATTATTCAGTATTCTGAGTTTATGATACACTAAATTTATATCTAAATTATGATGTACTACTAGGATATTTGTCCTACTGTTTATTTATATTTATAATAGTGTTATATTACTCTACTTGCTTTTTGATCTGATAATTTGAGTATCACTCACATGTTTTATTGCTCTTTTTAAAAATATATTTACAAATGTACAATTTTTACATAATATTCTTTTTTTAAAAAGTATATGATTGACCAGGCATGGTGGCTCAAGCCTGTAATCCCAGCACTTTGGGAGGCTGAGGCAAGAGGATTGCCTTAGCACTGGGCAACTTGGTAAGACCTCCTCTCTACAATAAATCAAAAAAATTAGCCAGATATGGTGGCAAGTGCCTGTAGTTCCAGCTACTTGGAAGGCTGAGGCAGAAGGACTGCCAGAGCCCAGCAGGTCGAGGCTACAGTAGCTGTGAGTGTGCCACTGCACTCTAGCCTGGGCAACAGAATAAATAAAAGTGTATGATCAAACAATACATCTTATTCTGCAACTATTCTAATGAAGACACAGGTTACTTATGTTTCTGTCAAGCTTTCTATGTCAACCTCCCTTAATTTTTTAATGACTTATATCTATGCATTTTAGATTTAAACACTGAAAGTACAAGAGCTATTTATGTATTTGTAAGTTATAAAGATGTAACAGTAAAGCAAAAGCCTAAGAACTCCAAGTCAGCTTAAGAAACAAAATATTACTAGTACCCCTGGATACTCCAAGTGACCCTTTCTCCTCAATCCCATCTTCCCCCTCTCTTCCATAAGAAAATCTTTATAGTAATTATTGTTTATTTGGTCTTCTAATTTTACCACATGTACAAATATATCTTGATGTATTTTTTGGTTCGGTGATCTTTTTAATTTTATAAAAATGAGCCGGGCTCAGTGGCTCAGCCTGTAATACTGCCCATTGGGAGGCTGAGGTGAGCGGATTGCAGTCTGCGAGTTCGAGACCCGCCCTGGCAACTTGGCGAGACCTCATCTCTAAAATAAATCAAAAAAATTAGCCAGGTGTGGTAGCGTACACCTGTAGTTCCAGCTACTTGGAAGGCTGAGGCAGAAGGATCATCTGAGCCCAGCAGGTCGAGGCTGCAGTGGCCGGGAACGGCCACTGCACTCCAGTCTGGGCGACAGAGTGAGACTTCAACTCAAAAAAAAAAAATTTTTTTATAAAAATGGAATAATACTATATATATATATATAATACTATATGCATGCTTCCCTTCCCCTCAAATTTTAGATTAATTCATGTTGATGCATGTAGCCACAATTCATTTATTTTTATTGCTGTATGGTATGCACATTTCTCTATTAATAAACTAGTCTATATTTATCCCTTCTCCTGCTGATACAGTACATTTTTAGGCTTTATAAAATTGTCCAATTTCATTTTACCAAAGGAATTCAATATATTGAAAATATCACTTGGAAAAATTTCTAAAATGTCTGACATATGTTTAAAATAAATATAAATCAGAAGTATTTTTTGTTTTTGTTGTTTATTTTTTTGAGATGATAATCTCATTCTGTTACCCAGGCTGAAGTGCAGTGGTGCAATCACAGTTCACTGTAACCTCGAGTTCCTGGGTTCAAGCGATCCTGCTGCCTTAGCCTCCTGAGTAGCTAGGACTACAGGTGTAACCCACCCCTTCCAGCTAATTTTCTAATTTTTTGTAGAGATAGGGTCTCACTATGTTGCCCAGGCTGGTCTCAAACTCCTGGCTTCACATGATGCTCCTGTCTCAACTTCCCAAAGCTCTGGGTAACAGGCGTGAGTCACTGTGTCTAAACTCTACAGCTAATTTCAGAGCATCTATAGGTAATGCATATGTGTAAAATAGTACATTTGGAATCAAAAATGCAAAACAAAATCAAATCAGAAGAGTTCTCTAACTAGTACATGGGTGATACTCAGTAAATATTTACTAGATGAGTTAACTAACTTACAATTTATAACATGTATACAGCAGAATCTGCAAAAAAATTTCAAAACAAACAGAAGGATTCAAGAAATACTTATTATGTATCAATTTATAAACTATGTATACGTTATATATAATACATAAAAATATGTGGTATATATTTTTAAGTTGTTATTCAAGGGACATTTTTGTTTCCATCTAAGAGATAATCTATAAAAGTTTTCTGCAAACTTCAAATACCTCACACTGTTTTTGTTTTGTTTTTTTCAAATACCTCATACTGTTAATCTCAATATTGTTTTAAATATGAATCCTAGGTCAACTTAGAATTTGAAGGAGAAATGATAAAATCGGGCTCAAAGGTAACATGGCATCTAGCCATGATTTTTATACCATATTCCAAGAAATCCTTTTAGAAGGTAAACTGCAGAGGGAATGAGCACCTTCACCCTCAGTTCAATTTGATTAGCTGCTCTCTGATCTGTCTTATCAACTGGGCTTTTGCAAAATTATGCTTAAAATGTGAACAATTTTAAAATTCACATATTAGTGGTTATAGAAAAGATCTCTGAGCCAATACATAATACGGGTTTGGGTTCTAGCTTTGTTACTTAAGAACTGTATGATCTTAGGTAAATAGCTTTACCTCTCTAACTTTTATTTCTTCATTTAAAAAAAGAAAAAAGGAATCACCTATTGTAGGTGATCTTTTAAATTCATTTTACCTCTAAAAAGCACCTAACTTTCAACTAGGGTATGTCTCGCCATATACCATGTCAAAAGCTTTAAGGAAGGGCTTTGAGGTCACCTATCCTAACTCATTCATTTTATAAATGTCCAAGTCAACCCTAGCAGAAACAGTGACCAAAGTACTCTGAGAAGCAAGCTAATTATATACACTGATACACACCAGATTTAGAATACCTACAGTTTTCCTAATATTTTCAGAATGAATCACCATATCTGACCAGAATATTTCTAGCCAAAAGTAAAGTTACATCTGTACTTCTCCCACAATCAAGCTGCTAGAACTTTTCCAATTCAAGTTACTTGTCAAAATGAGAAAAGTACTGTTGATGAAAATTTCTTTGAAAACATACTTACTCAGATCAGACACTTGGCTGATTATATTTTTCCTTGATATGGTTTGAAGGAATTTCAACTTTGGTATTTCACTTTATTCATGTGAAATAGTACTCATAGGAGAAAACATGAGTTTGCTTACCCATGATCTTTTTTCAGTGCTTCTACGATGCACAGCAATTCAATAATCTGGGCTCGAAGTTCATCCAGGGAATTTTTTTTCCCATCATCTGCTTCATTTGCTTTAGCTTTGATTTCTAATGGAGTCAGGAAAGCTGTTGCATTTGTTTTAGAAGCACTTGGAAGTGTTGAAAGGTACGCCGATGGCTGAAAATATAATAAAAATATTTTTCCTATTTTATTTATATCTTATTTAAATTCAAAAGGTTTTCATAGCAAGAAGATAAACAGTAATACTCAAGATAAAGGGCAAATTTGGAAATTCAAACAACAGTTTGATGTTCATAACTAGAAAAACCACCAGACAACCAAAGAACACATTTGTAATAACTAGTGGGTTTTTGAAAATGCAATAGCTTTATTAAAAGAAGAAAAACACATCAGATGTATCTTATGGATGATATGCCTAGTGTAGCATCCAGATGCAAGAATATCTCAGCATTATTAAAGTGCTATTTTGACCTTCCATTATATAATACTTACTGTTTACAATATACAAAGAGATTCACTTAAAAATAATTATGGGCCAGGCACAGTGGCTCAGCCTGTAATCTCAGCACTTTGAGAGGCCAAGGTGAGTGGACTGACTGAGCCCACGGGTTCAGTACCAGCCCTGTTAACTTGGCAAGATCTCATCTCTACAATAAATCAAAAAAATTAGCCAGGTGTGGTAGCATGCGCCTGTAGTTCTGGCTACTTGGAAGGCTGAGGTGGAAGGATCGCCAGAGTCCAGCAAGTCGACACTGGGGTGGCCTTGAGTGTCCCACTGTACTATAGCCTAGGACAGAGTGAGACTCCAACTCAAATAATAATAATAATAATAAAGAAGAAGAATTTAGTAAGTTTATGGAAAAGTCATTAAAATGAGTCTACAGTCTGGTACCCTTTAGCATTTCACTAAAACAACAGCAAGTTGTTTTAGTAAAATTTTAATGCATGGCTGACAGCTGAGAGAATCAGACTACTACTTACCAAAAAGTCCTGAAATGATATTGAGGAATAATTTAGGAGAAAATATGACCTTTTAAAAAATATGTGTCATTTGTGGTAAAACTATGTTAAATGAAAATAACAAAAGTTTTGAAAAGACACTTAACACACTGTCATAGATAAAGGATCCATGTACAGTATTCTGCCATTCATTTCAGTACATATTGAATATATAATTATGATGCTAAGCGCCAAGCTAGGTAAGGAATATTTAAGTAATGATTTCTGACCTTAAGTCTGTATGTTTAGTGGGAAAATAAAACAAAATTTATAAATAGATCTATGGACTATGTAACACTTATAGTATTCACTTAAAATAATACAAGTTCTTCTAAAACATCTGCAGCCAATTGTCTAAGTTTAACAACTCAATTTTCAGCAAGCATTATTTCTTGGCAGAAGATGAAATCCTTCTTAAAGAATATCTTAATTTTGATGTTCACAAAGAATCCTAGAAATTACACAAATCTTAGACCACAATGCACCTCACCTTTGGAGAGTAGCATGTATCCTTTTTGAATTCAGATGGCTTTAGGTTGGCACTATCCTCTTCTTTTGGTAACTTCAAGATTTTTTCTGGGCTTTGAGTTGGCTGAATAATTTTTTAAAACAACAAGAGACAGAATAGACCAAAGAAGGAAAAGGTAGTAAGCATTTGGATAATAAAGCAAGTAACATTTATGGGGTTTTTTTCAGCTGCTACTGTTCGTGATAGTCCATTACTGTTAACAGGATGCCAGAAAATTTCAAGTTCAATAATATATTTGCATATCTTCAGGGCAACAAACTTGCTTCTTACCTGCAAATAATTTATTCACTTAGGTAATTTAAAAGTACTGTAATGCTTAACAGCTATATATTAATATGAAAGTACCACCAGTATTCCAGGCAATGTAGAGAAAGCATAAACAGAAGTTATACATTTAGACCAAGGACAAATAGTATAAAAACATGGAATATTTCAGGAGAAAATTTTTTCTCAATTTTTCCTAAAATGACTATCTACTGTTCAGTTCTATCACTGCTGTTGGACAGATACATTAAACAGGTTCTTCTTGTCCTGCTTTGACTCTGTGCTCTATATTTACAGTATAATGACAACAACTTCTTTCTTTCAATTCTATAACCTTCCATTGTAGGCTCTACTGAAATGAACATCTCTCTCCCCCTCTATCTCCTTAAATATTAGCATTTTCTGTATGCGTAGAAGTATAGCAGCTATCTTTCTGATTTTTAAACTTAGGTGGAGCTATAAACCCTTTCTCAATCTCATCTTCAGATGGACTCTGTATTTGCTAAATGCTCTGGGTTTTACAACAGCAAGCGTAACTCACAGAATGTCCACCATTGAAGCGGCCAGGCAATCTTCTTCCAGGCATCTTTGGTCTATTTGCAGTGAGATGATGCAAGTTTTCTGAGGAAGCTATGTCATCAAAATTTACAACATCTAGAGAATAAAAATAAACATTATCTACTAAGAGATAACTGTACCTTTTAAAAGGTGAAAAATAATGTTTTGATTTTTTGGACAAACTATAAATTAAAGAGTGCCACCACTTTGAAGGACTCACAAGTTGACCTGTGCTTTTCATATGCATTTGGAAAACAACACTTGCCCTTAAAAGAAAAACAAACAGCCTCTTTACCTAATACATTATATCATATATGACTTTTATATTAACACTATATGGGTTATATTTCCAACAGAGACTTAGATCTCAACAAGAAGTTAATATTGAAAAACAAATCTGTATCAAAAATTGTAGTAACATAAAAAACTGTCAACTTACGTTCTTGCTTATTTAAAAAAATCTACTTCTTAAACTCATAATAAATTACAAGATATAAAAAACTTTATTTTTAAGATTTGTTTTAAACTTCAAGTAGTGAAATAAATTCAAATGTTGAGAATTTGACTATATCTGGCAACCTGCTGCTTTCCATTTGCCTCTCTCACTGTAAAGAGAAAGCATGATTTAATGTGCTATTATATATATATATATATATATATATATATATGGATGTGTACAGTATGTTATAGCTGGAACTCAAAACAGTTTACTGCATCTTTGCTTAGATATAACTATGTTTAGTAATCATAGGATAGTTAAAAATCTAGGCAAAACAGATACCAAAGGAAAATGGTATATAAATTACCAACTTGCTTCCATGCCACCAAAGGCTGACTGATCTTTGACCCAATTACTTGGGTTGAAGGACAAATCTATGGGTAATTCTTATCTCTGAAACAACGGTTATATAATACCTTGCCTTTTTCTAGATGACCCAGAAAGTCTTGCTAAAGGAATTTCATGAACTTTGAAGCCCAGATATCTATATGTGCTACAAGAATCCTAAGGGTAACTTCCACTGTCAGTAAACCTTCCTTAGCCCAGAATCCAAACTCAGAATATTAACCACAGCCAAAACAGAAGAGCAGGTATCTCTGGTCTAATCTTCCAGGTCTGGAGTCATTCTTTGTATTACCATCTGCCTAGATGTTTATAACACTTTCTGACAGATATTTAGATGTCCCAACTCAGTTATTTGCTATTTCTTAAAAGAGACCTAAAGACATCATCACCAACCTCAAAACTTATTCATTAATTTTGATATTCAAAATAGCTTATTTAGATAATTTTTTTTAAAGGAATGGAGGACACGAAGGTAAGGCAGAAAAGAAAGCATCACTGTTTGGCAATATGCATTTTATAACAACCAGAAGTACTGTTGATTTTTTTCCATCAATTACTGTGTTTTCCCCTGGATCAAGTCAATTAGCTAATTCATCAAAACAGACACTCTTAATATGCTCAGTTTAATTTTTGTTTTGAGCCTTTTGATAACTGTGTTAAGTAATTATAAAATGTAACAAGCCATAGTAAGAAATAAGTGACTTTAGTGGAAAACTTATTATGTAATCTGAATAGTCTGAATAAAAAAATATATTTAAGTATGTCTTTTTATTTGCAAATTTAAATAAACAATCAGTATTTTTAAAAGATACTAACATGTTGTACTTTGAAGGATTAAAAGTTGCTTTTTACACTGATAAGTGTGCATTAACAACCCACAAAAAAAAATTCTTAGAAAATACAATCCAATCGTTTTGGCCTGTAGAGATTATTTTCAAATGCATATTTAAGCAACTTGAAGAAAGGAAAACAAAACAAAACAAAAAAAACAGGAAAAGACGAAGAGAAATGAAACTGAAAGGGTAAATAAAACATAAATTTACAAAATTATACACCATGCTAATGCAAAATGTCTTCTGTATGGTCCAGTTTGAACTACAACATCAAGACAAATAATTTGACTATTCTAGAACTCTCTCAGGTTCTCCATTTAAGCCATTAGGTTAGTAAAATGAACAGTGCACATTTTGGACTCATGGCATATCTAAAGGCTTTTAAATTTACCTAAGAGTGATAACAATGGCCTTAGACTGTATACATGGCATTAAAGGCATTACAATCACTTATCTCTTGCAATCACACTTGTCACTCTACCAACCACTTACACTTCTACATGCTGCCAGGAAGACATGGAATTTTTAAAACTCAAAATAAAACATCCAATGGGGGGGTAAATAAACTGATTTTTATGATTGCCAATTTCCTTTTTAAAAAAACACAAAAAACTTTTAACAAAAGAATACTGTAAACGAATCAGGATAATTTTTCCAAAATGAATTTCATTATATTTTAAAATGGAAAACCAAAAGGGTTAGAATAAATAGACAGACAAACATGTACACCTTCAGTAAAATTACAAAGAAAAATCAATGTGCACCACCTATTTATACTGAAAATATTATTTTGATTTCTCGTATAAATTTTCATCTTACCAAAATGGAGAAGGGTAGAATAATTTCCTGACACGTAAGAAGGGAAACATGGCAAACAGGCTAGGAAACAAAATCTGGAAAGAAAAGTCAAGGATAGAAATGTCTAGAAAAAAGACTAAACCAAAAAATTATTTTACAAAACAGGAAAAAGGAACAGTAGTAGAATGAATAGAACCATTTCAATGTTCAGCATATAAGTATTTACTTAAGATGTATATTAGATTTTAGATTCATTCCTTTGTCTTTCAAAAAGAAAAATTAAGATTAGTATTAATTTCAATATACATTAAAGCTAGAAAGAAGCCTTGTCTTATTACTCACTGAACACCAAGACAGCTTTCCAAAACGAATGTCTTAGTGCTTTAAGAGATCAGAGTAATAAACCAGTAATAGTGACATTTCATAACATAGTTGTAACTAAAATTAAACTACCTTTTAGTCAAATTTTAGTCTTTAGCACATGACAGAAGTTAAAACTAAAGAGGCTATTTTAATTCTATGGTATCACAAAGAAAGATATGCCGAGTATTTTTAAATACCTCAGAATAAAAATATGACTCAACAAAATCTTTAAATATCTCCTACATATATAAATAAGAATTCACTAATGCCTTATGTGTGATACTCTATAATATGATTTGATAAAGAAAACTATTATTAGAAATTAAATTTTTTTAGATCCTTGCTTAAACACAAGTTTACTTTTTATAGTATATGCTACTCAATAGGCATCTACTTTAAAAATTCCACCATGAATTCTTTCTGGAAGAAATAAACGAGTAAATACTGAAAAAGTTTAAAAAAATAAATCAACTATCAATGTAACTGAAAAGAATGTGTTTCCTTATTCAAAAATAAATGCTTTGGGGTCAAATAATATATGTTTCTCTAAAATTTCCTTTTAATCATATAAGCATTTATCACAGAAAAACAATCCAAATACTCTAAGGAAACATTCTAAGGAAACCTCATCAGCTGGGCTTTCTCAATGCAATAGCTATGCTAGCATTAAATTTTCTATCTTGTATTTTAAAATTAATTTGAAAATAATTTTACTTTTCAGCAAATTTACTATTTTTGAAATATTCGGAACTTGCAAACTGTATAATTAATTAGTAGTGGTAGTAAGATTCTCCTTAAACTCATTTTTGAGGAAGTATTTGAAAAAGAATGTTAAACATGATTCTTAACAGATCTTCAATTTATAGCACCATATTATAAATGAGAATATATATGAATAAATTCAAAAGTTACTTCATGTCATTAAAAAAAGAAAATTTGAATGCTCTAAGTTATGTATTTCTTACATGTACAAAAGCCACAATCTGTATTTGCATACATAACTATTTTGTATATACATATACAAATATTTATATGTGGCTTTACAAATGAGAATACCATCAGGAACTTATATCCTTTATAAATTAGAACAAAAGCAAAATGAGATGAGTTTAACAATAGAAGAGGGAGGAAAGAAGGAAAAAACACATTTGCAATAACTTCCATGTCAGGTAATCTAATCAAGGCATAGAAGACATACCAAATCATTAAATAGTTAAGGGAGAAAAACAGATTAGGAAGCGTGCTATGACCAATCAGCTAATAAATAAAATCTTTATTTTCTTACAGCAAAGTCAATATACTTTCTACTATACCATTTTACCTCAAATTATTATTTTATATAATAATGAAACTCTCAATAAGAGGTTTTCATATATGCCTTAAACTTCTTAAAACTCACATGTAATAGGCTAGTTTCATACACTATTTTTTAAATGTAAAAACCTCACACTAAGCCAAAAATATAAACTAAACTGTCTCAACCTAATGTCAAATTTTAGACTGTATTTGAGCCACAATACATATTTGTTCAAGGTATTAACATTTTCATAGAACACTTTTACATTTCAAATACTAGGAGAACACATGATATTATACTTTTACAAGGTAATAAGAAAGAGGCTAATAAGAAAGAGGTGCTAGTACGAAAGAGGCTCTAAATTTATGTTTAGGACATAAGCTATTTGCTACTATCAACTATAGGTTTAATATTAAAGTGCTACTGTGCCTAAAACACTACTTACACTTGCTCAGTAAATATCTGGCACTTAACATGAATATTTTCTGAACATTTTCCCAACATTTATATTTTCTGAACTTTACAGGATTATAAGAGAGGTATAGCAAAGGTAGGGCAACTAAATGGAAGGAATAAAGAACAGCAGCCCAGACATTAACTGTTAGTTTTCTGTAAGTCTCACCATCTCTAAGATTATTTCCTTATTTATGTGAAGAAAAAAACGAACCAGAAATAAATAAGAAGTTTCCAAGACCTGTTCCAAAAAGCCTCATTGTCTATTTAAGTGAAGAATAAATGACAGCAATGAATAAAAGACAAGAAAGGGGCAAAAAACCCAAGAAAGTAAAATTGTTATGTGCATTATTTTTTACTAGAAATGTAGAAAAGCAAACAAAAATTGTGATTTTATATGATTCAGTTTTTAAAAAGTGAAAATTTGTTTTAATTACCTAAATTACTTTCAAATTTCCGCCAGCTTGAAATAAACTAAATAAAGCAAATGTTCAAGAATACAAAGCCATCGGATAATATGGGTTCCAAATGTTATTCCCTCAACTCGCAAACAGACTCCATCAACATGTATGTATATATTTTTTGAGTCGGGATCTCACTCCTTTCCCCAAGTTGGAATGCAGTGGCATGATCACAGTTCACCACAGCATCGATCTCATGGGCTCAGGTGATTCTCCCAAGTCAGTCCACCGAGTAGCTAGAATTACAGGCCCTCACCACCACGCAAGGCTAATTTTTTCGGTTTTTTATAGAGACGAGGTCTTGCTATGTTGCCCAGGCTGGTCTCAAACTCCTGGGTTCAAGCAATCCTCCTACCTCAGTCTCCCAAAATGTTGGGGTTTAAAGGCATGAGTCATTGCACCCAGCCTCCATCAACGTTTATAACTTCTATGATAAAGATCCCAGAAAACTGTGAAAATTCAAAATATAATGGAAATACTTTTTTTCTTCCAGATTTAAAAGTGTACAAATAATCTGCTTCTCTTCGACTATTACTTTTGAAACACATTTCTGTCTATATTTTAAGCCAAACAGAAAAAAATATGAAGTGATAAAATTAACTTTTTACTACAAACTCAATAAAAAATAAAAATTTTTAAAAACAAACTTTTTTTCATTGCTTAATAGTAAACAAGGACAATTTTTACCAGATAAAACAATCTGAATATATTTCAGTGAATTCCTCTAAAATACAATAAAAAATCTCAATTTCCAGAAATCAGCAGTGAATACAGCTTCATTCAGAGCAAGTAAGATCCAAATATGACACAAGGATCTATAAAATATTCATGTTAAAAAAAATAAAAGGAGGCCATACTTAAGTCAGAGCTTTTGCATTGGCAAACTGAAAAAATAAGATCACTTGAAAAAATCTGAAACTCTAACAGCGTATTTTACAATAAGGTGACAAAAAACATCTAAGTGTAAACTGGCCTAAGTTTTAAATGTAAATATAAAATGTTAACACTCAAGCTAAACAATATATCAAGAGATTAAGGGTTTTTTAGAAGAACATCACAGAACACTTTATATAAAAGAAATTTTTATTTATGTGATCTCGTATATTTGATGCATTTGTAGCTTATTTTATCTAGACACAAAACAGTGAAAATAGCATCTGCTTCCTAGAGTTAATGTAAAAGATAAAATAAGAACATATATGAGAAAGTGCTTTGAAAAATGTAAGAAGTCAAAAAACAAATGCAAAGCACTATACTACCACAATGTGGTAATATAACACAATGTTTTTGATCAAGACCTATATCAAGACTTCTCTGCTTCAAGTTTTTCACTTTAAAACTAGCAGGTATAAAAGACCAGGAGGAAGTACAGACTAGACAAATAAAGATGATTTAAATGAGTGAAAAAAAACCCTAAAGCCCTAAGAAACAACATTTATCTAAAGAAGTGAAACCTGCTGACTTTATATAGAGTAATAAAAAGTATATTTTCCTGTACTGACAACAAAAGTATCTCCAGATCAAGAGGATACAATTTTTTAAGTCTTATCAAATGTAATCTAGTGCTGGTACTGAAAGTCTATGTCATTATTAAACTTTTAAAACTACAATGTATTCATATCTGCCTGAATTAGGTAGTATGGTCATTCTAGTATGAAGAGATAAATAATAGATGGATAAACTTTTAGCCTCTATTTCAGTCCTCCGAGCAGTATGAATACTTATCCATTTCAGTCTTCTGATCATGAAGAAACTGACTAGTAAGGACCAAAATATTTCACCTATTTAAGTTTATTTTTCTACTAAATTTTAAACAATCTTCAACTATGTAACTTCCACAGTATCTTTCCACACACAAGCTGCATACACATCTCTTATTTTAAATAGTTCCTGAAAACGATACTGACAACTTTTTTTGATGCACCACCTTTGTCCATGCTGATTTACCTGTTTCTTTGGAGCTCCTTACTGTAAATGAGTCAAGGTCAACTGATTTTGGTCTAAGTGGCAACTGTTCGAAATCTAACTTTGGTTTTGATACTGGCTCAGTTTCAAATTTTGATGAAAGAGTAGAAACTTCCCCATTAATCCTGAAATAAGAAAAACACATGTAAAAATCATTTGTAAACATAAGAAAAACATGGCCTTTTTAAAAAAAATTGTGATTTAATGACATTAAAGATTGTACAATATAATACTGCTTAATTTCTGTTCTATAAAACTATTTCCATAAATGTAAACCTCTAACCTAAGACTGATGACAAAAAATCAGAAATGTTAAAACAGTTAATTAAGTATAGCCACCTATTATAAATACAAAATTAACATTTAACAGGGAATTATTACAGAAAAAATATGGAAAAACAGTTAAAAATTAAAATGCAACAATGAAGGGACTGCTATGAAGGTAAGCAATAGTGCTAAGTTGAAATGTACAGAATGCTCCCCCTTTTTTTTTTTAAAGTGTATTGGTATGTTCTGATAAAGGGTTGTGGATGGAAGGGCTGTAGTAGAAGGAGCTTCCTCTCCTAGAGCTCCTACTGCATCTAGGCAATCAGCTGTTCATGCACATCACGAGGAAAGAGAGCAGTGAGTCCTTTGTCCTGGGTGGCCCATCATGCTCTGAGACTGTCCCTCCAACCAGGAAACCTTCAGAGAGTTACGAACCAGGCCAATGTTACCCTAGACAGCCTGTCCGATAGCCTTAAGAGTCCCATCCTCCACCACAGCAGTACCTGCTTTCTTTCTGAAAAAGCATCAGACTGAGAACTTCACCATACTTTTGCAAAAGCTACCTACCAGAGGACGTCTCTGGAATAGCTGCCTGTTGACTCATTGTTCCTACACTCCATTTTAGTTTTCATTTGAAGTTTGTTTGCCTTTAGTATTTTCTGCCTTTCCTCTTAAACTCTGGTCAAGTTCTGGTATATGTACTCTGGGTCAGATTCTGAGGGTCTTCCATCTGCCAGGAACACTTCACATAGGCCTCCGATCTCTTCCTGTGGAATACTCGTGCTTCTGCTTTCCTCCTCAACCACCTGGGCCGGGGCCTGCAGTAAATCTTCGCTTTCTTCCATTTCTCATCAAGTCTCCAGGTCCTTTCTGTTGCCTGATACTTGGCTTTCCTAAACTTGTCATATGCAGCCCTGACTGCAACATTGTCAGTAACTCCAAGGTCTGAAAAAGCTCGTAGGAAATTTCAGCTGCTCCGTCATTATCTGGATTTTCATCTGGGTGACAGGAGAGGGCCTTCTGGCTATATACCTTCTTCATCTCTTGGTCAGCAGTCTACTCCTTGATGCCTAGTAAGTAGGCATTCAGGTCCATGTGTAAGAGTTCCATGGTCACTGCCATGGTTCCAACCCTGACTGGATTTTTACTACAACTCCCAACTGCCTGCTCATGCAAAGAGATTGCCAGTATAGTGGACAAAATGGTGCTTAGTCCCCTGGAACTCTTGCATTTTAATAATCAGAGCAGGCAGAATGGCAACAGTCCCCTGGAACTTTTGCATTTAATCATCAAGGCTCCAATCAAATAGCCAGAACTTGCTTGTGATCTTTGTGTATATACCCAGCTCTCAAACTTGTTTTTATTCTCAAAACTGAAATAAATTTTAACTTTTCAAAAAGATAAAAGATTAACAAATGGTGGCAAAGATGTGGAGAAATGGTAACCTCAGCACATTGTGGGTGGTAATATAAATTAATGCAGCCAATACTGAAAACAGAATGGAGGTTGCTCAAAAAGTTAAAAATAGAACTACTTTATGGCTAATATATAGAGTATATAGCTAAAGGAAATTAAATCAATATGTCAAAGAGATATTTGCACTCTCATGTTTATAGCAACATGATAGCCATTATATGAAAGCAACCTAAGTGTCAAGAAATGAATGGAGGAAATGTGGCATATATAAAGAACGGAATACTATTCTGTCATTAAAAAAAAAAAAAAAAAAGAAGGAAATCCTGACATTTGAGACAGCATGAATGACTCTGGAAAACATTATGTTAAGTGAAATAAGGCAGGTACAAAAAGACCAATACTACATGTTCTCACTCATATGTGGAAACTAAAAAAGTTGATCTTATAGAAGTAAAGAGTAGAATAGTGGTTACCACAAGCTGGGGTGGCTGAAGGTGCACGGTTTGAGGAGGATGCTGCTCAAAGAATACATAATTACAGTTAGATAGGAGGAATAAGTTCAAGAAATCTATTGTAGAGTATAGTGACTATATTTAATGACAATATACTATATTCCTGAAAAGTGCTAACAGAGTGGACATTAAGTGTTCTCATCATAAAAATTATATGTGAGGTAATACAATTGTTAATTAGCTAGACTTACCCATTCCACAATATATTTATACTTCAAAACCTCATGCTGTATACAATAAATACATACAATTTTATATGTTAATTTTTAAAATAGGGAAAAAAAGCAAAAATCCTGTCAGATTTAGAAAGACAATAGAGCTATTTAGGTCAAAGGTGAGTAAATCAATAGGCTAATTCAAAATTAGGTAAAACTCACTTAGCTACAGGAGGGGGTGGAGGAACTGGTTTTTCAGGTCGCTTTGAATACACGGTTCCAGAAGATCTCAATAAATTATTGGCTTTAGTGGGTGGAGTAGGCTTCTTGGGTGGGACTTGTGGAGCTGCTGGTTTGGAAGGTTTCTGTTCCAGAGCTGATTTTTCATCTGAGATTTAAAAACATTTAACAAGTTATTAACTATCAAAATTATCTAGGTTTTCTGTCTATTTCTATGGTCAATGTTAGTCTGGAAAAGTGTGAGACAGAACGGATATTAACTTTCAATACTTGTGAACGTATGTAGTTTTATTTATTTTAAAGTTATATTTTAATATAATGTGCATAAATAGCTAAAAATAAAGTTTACTTTGGTAGGGAGGAAAAGTAATAATAAGTTTCTAATTAATGAATAATGACTGCTTTTTATTGTTTTGAGTCTCCTTGGCTTTTAAGGGTAGTATTCTATCTCAGTTATAACCACATATAACTTTAAACAGAAAATTAAATCTAGACTACTCTCTGAAACTAAAATATATGAAGCTGAAAACAAGCAGAACTCTAGTGTCATGTAACATTCTCATTTTTAAAAAATCATGGCCAGGCACGGTGGCTCTGGCAGGGCACAGTGGCTCACACCTATAATCCCAGCACTCTGGGAGGCTGAGGCAGGAGGAATGCTCAAGCCCAGGAGTTCGAGACCAGCCTGGACTACAATGAGACCTTATCTCTACAAAAAGAAACCAAAAAATTAGCTTGCACTACAGGTGCATGCCACAGGGGAGCTGAGGCAGAAGGACCACCTGAGCCCAGAAAGCTGAAGCTATAGTGACCCATGATCATGCCACTGTACTCCAGCCTGAGTGACAGAGTGAGACCCCAACTCAAAAAATAACAATCATCATCGTCATCATCATCATCATCACAAAAAAATCAAATGTTAAAAGAAATTGAGGCTAAAGTGATCAGCCACAGATGAGAGAATACAGATTTATAATTCTCACTATTGTACCAAGAATTTTATTAACACCATTTCATCATTTAATAATGCAATGAAACATATTTCTATTTGACAGATTTTTTAAAATATGATGGAAAAAACAATAAAAATAATTTTATGCTAGGCTAATAACAATTTTATCACCAAAAAGGCACTAAACACTCTTAGTACTACACATGGCATACTTGCTTTCTGATCTTTCAGTTACTAAGAACAGGTATCAAACTGACATGTGCACATGTGAAGAGGTCATGATACAGCAGACAACTAAAATGTAGGATAGGGCATATATCCCAAAATAAGAAACTCCTAAGTGCAATACTGAGTAGTTTTCAAAATGTTCTTGGTCTTTGAAAAGAATGTCTATCACTGGATAACAAGTTTAAAATAACATTTCATATCAACCAGAAACTGACACCACAGGCTATAAGATAAGCCCTTCCCTAAAAATTATAAGTGTCACCTCACGACAACAAAAATACTATATACGATTAACTCAGTTTTGTCACTTATTTAATGGCTCCCTTGGTTCATGCAAAAATATAGCTCAATCTATTAAAACTCTGGTCACTATCTGGTACTAAAATCTATTTTCATATGGCTTCAGCATATAACAACATAGTATATAATTATACTAACAGCAGTAAAAGTCCAACTCTCCAATTCTGACCATAATGAAATAAAGCTATCTTTAGTTATAACAACCAAACTTGAATTTCTAGAAAATATAAAGAAAAATGTTTTATACAAAATACCAAGAAAAATGTCAAAAGATAAACAGAGGCTCACTGAGTATACTTCTTTAACAGATATAGAAGGTCAGGCGTGGTGGTTCACACCTAATAATCCCAGCACTTTGGGAAGCTGAGGTGAGAGGACTGCCTGATCCCATAGGTTCAAGCCCAGCCTGGGCAACTTGGTGAGAGCTCATCTCTACAATAAATCAAAAAATTAGCTGGGTGTGGTGACGTGTGCCTGTAGTTCCAGCTACTTAGAAGGCTGAGGTGGAAGGATCACCTGAGCCCAGTAGGTCAAGGCTGCAGTGGCCATGAGCATGCCACTGTACTCCAGTCTGGGTGACAGAGTGAGACTCCAACTCAAAAAAAAACAATCTCAACAACAAAAAAACCCACCAGATATAGAAATAACAGTGAAATCAATCCTGCTGTGTTATTCTAAAACAAAAAAAAATTTTAATTTTCATGGAAATCAAAAGGTAACAAACATCAGATTCATCATTCCTAGTATCTGCATTACTAAATCAACTATAATGTTGATTTATTATATTACTAGTATAAGATGACAGTATAGTTATACACTAGATTTTGGGGTTTTTTGAGATGACATTTATAGAGCATGAAATTAACAATATTAAAGAGAACATGTCAGTGACATTTAGTATATTCACAATGTTATACAACCACCACTTCTGTCTAATTCTAAAACACTTCCATCTCCCCAAAAGATAACCCTTTTCCCATTCATCAGTTATTCCCATTCCCTCCTACATCTAACCTCCGGCAACCAGGTATTTCCCTCCTACCTTCTGTAGATTTACCTATTCTGGATACTTCATACATATGGAATCATATACTGTGTGATCCTTTGTGCCTAGCTTCTTTTACTTCGCATGTTTTTGAGGTTTATCCTTATTATAACATATAGCAGTATTTCATTTCTTTTTGGTGACTAAATATTCCATTAAATATCAGGATGCCAAAAATATATATACACATTTTAAGAGATATTATCTATGTATTACTTTTCGAAGTGAATTATGGTAGCAAATGTGTAGTATGACTTTCACTCAATAGATGGCATTAACCAAATGAATGTTAGCATCACCACGCAGCAGGCAGGACCGTCAAAGAAAACAGCGGAAGCACAGCTGTCGTTTGAGGAGTGTGAGACCATTTTAAAGTGGTATTTGAAATTCAAGAACATTGTGGAAGTACAACAATGGAGGCACGAGTATGCAAAGAACCTCCAACATGCCTAACAAATGTACACATTTGTGATACGTTTGAGAGACATGGTACTGTGTGTAATGTGCACAATGGAAGATCCAGGAGACCTTGCACAGCAACAAAGCCTGTAGTAGCTCACCATAATCAGAAGTGACTGGATGCTGATGGTAACCACTTTGAGCACTTCTTGTAATTGCAGAAGTCAAACATGACTTATACTCACCTTTTGTTATGGGTATAAATACAGTAGTACAATTTTAATACAGTTTTTTTCCTTTCTTAAAATGTGTATACATTTTTTTGGGACACCCTCTGATATCAATCAAGATTTTCTCCAAACAGTACAAAGTAAAACAAAGCAACCACTCTATTATAGAAACACATATATCATCTAACCCAGGGGTCCCCAAACCCTGAGACATGGATGGGTACAGGTCTGTGGTCTGTTAGGAACTGGGCCTCACAGCAGAAGGTGAGTGGCCAGCAAGTGAATGAAGCTTCACCTGTATTTACAGGCGTTCCCCATGGCTCACATTACCATCTGAGCTCCACCTTCTGTCAGATCAGCGGCAGCATTAGATTCTCATAGAAGCGCAAACCCTATTGTGAACTGTGCATGCGAGGGATCTATATTACATGCTCCTTATGAGAATCTAATGCCTGATGATCTGAGGTGAAGCTGAGGTGGTGATGCTAGCACTGGAGAGTGGCTACAAATACAGATTAACGTTAGCAGTGAGGTTGGACTGTACAGACACCATAATAAATCAACTGCTTACAGACTCATACCAAAACCCTATCATTGAATTGCAAGTGAGTTGATGTACTTCAATTATACAGCTGCATCTGGTGGCAGGCTTTAAGTCAGAATCCAACACTTATTTTAGTCCATGAGTGGCATGCCCACTATGTTATTTACCACTTCCATCCACACCTCTTTTTTTTCTAATGGTGAGTTATATAATTATTTCATTATATATTACAATGTAATAATAGTAGAAATAAAGTATACAATAAATATTATGTGCTTGAATCATCCTGAAATCACTCCTCTCTCCAGTCCACAGAAAAATTGTCTTCCACAAAACCAGTCCTTGATGCCAAAAACGCTGGGGCTCAAATCAAGACCTCTTGTACTTCTGACCAATTGGCTATAAATAGGGGGTTCCCAAGAACCCCTCTCCTCCACGTTCGATAATTTGTTAGAAAGGTTCACAGAACTCAAAACGGCACTTTAAGATTACCAGTTTATTATAAAGGACACAATTCAGAATAGCCAAATGAAAGAGATGCATAGGGCATGGTATATGGAAAGAGGTGCACAGTTTCCATGACCTCTCCAGGTGTACCACATTCCTAGCCCACACATGTACACCAACTCAAAAGCTCTCTAAACCTTGTAGCTTAGAGTTTTTAATGGAATCTAATCACTTGGTTGTTTTCCCTGGCAGCCAGTCCCCTCATCCTTAGGGGCTTTACAACAGCAATCCAATTAATATATACTCAGGCGTGGTTAAAATGAGCTTGTTAAAAATAACAAAAGGTGCTCCTCTTATCCTATCATTGAAGAAGTTTCAAGGGTGTCAGGAGCTGTGTGCTAGGAACTAAGGACAAAAATCAAATATATATTTCTTATTATACCACAATATTACACATATCTAAGAATCTACTGTCAAATCTAAGTCCATGAAAACATACTCCTATTTTTTTTAAGATTAAAAAAAGTTTATTTAAAAGTAAATTAGAGAGAGAGAGAGAGAGAGAGAGAGAGAAAGAGAAAATTCACCTCCACAAGGTAAGGGAAGGGGCCAAAGCCAGGAAGCATGGAGACAGCCATAGCTCAAAGAGCACATGGTAATATCAGAGCCTAACAAGGCAATGGCCCAAATATAAAAGCTAAAACTCTAATGATCCTTTGTCAGTTACTTTTTGTATATGATGTGAGATAGGGCTCCAACTTCATTCGTTTGTATGTGAATACTAAAATTCTAGTTCAGCTAGAAATTTACAAAAACCAAGAGGAAACTTAGACATAAAAAAAAAAATGTCTCATGTTACCTTCCTAAATGCCCATGGAAGTATTATACAAGATATGGATATTATGATAACTTAAGATATAGAAGAGCTATCTTAATTATACAAAGAATTTTTTAATAAAAATAGCTAAAATATTCACTAACACAATACAAAATAAATATTTCA